ATCCATTAATGAGAACTGTTTATGCTATTCATTATGATAATAATAAACGTATGTTTTATTTAATTATTATTAATACTATTAAATATATTTGTTTGAATAGATCGTCTTTATGCAGTTAGTGGTAGAAATGGAAAAAGTCGAGCTTTGGGTTTTACATATAGTGTTCATCCAGAATCGTTTGGCCAATTGATTGCTACTTGGGAACCAAATGATGTTTGTTTTTATATTTTTTTAAAGACTGTTTTATATATATATATATATTTGTTTGTTTTGCGTAGAAATTTGGTGAACCACATGATTTGGCTTTAAGTGTAAATGGTCGTTCATTATTCGTCGGTGAAATTCGTCCGAATCGTATTGATTCGTTTGATGTTCTTAATTAAATATCCCGAAAAAATCTTTTCTTTCTGAGCAATAATCAACAGTCATTCTTTTTTTTTCTCAAAGATTTTATGAAAATATTTCTCGAACGATTTCAATATTAAAATAAATGAATGGTTAATAAACCATCGGTAATATTTTAATGAAAACATTTTGTTTTTCAATTAATCAATATCATTTCTTATTTTAAAAGATAATAGAAAAATATATTGATCAAATTCTTTTGATTAAAATTGATCATTACGTCAATGAAAAATATCATCTTAAAGCACTCGAATCCAAGTCTTAAATCAGAGTTGATGATGACTTTGAATTTACAGGAAAATCAAAATAAGACCAGTCGTAATTAGATACGTGTGCAGTTGTGCTTTTTAATTCCGATTCTGATTGGGAATCTGGTGACAGTCGGTCTCAAGGCGTAAAATATCATTCATAGAGGTATAGAGGTGAGATGCTATAGAAAAGTAGATTCATATAAGTAGCAAGATGAAGATGATTCAATATATTCAATAAACAAATATGTGGTTAGACTTTATTATGTAAACAAGGACGAGTATGGGTCGCGGCTCTTCAGGAAACGCGTAGTGATTTCACGCCGCGAAACGAGTATAAAGAATCAGTAACTCGATCAAAGTATTTGGTTGTACGGTGGGTTTAATAACAGAATTTAAAAATGAAATGTCTGTATGAGGCTACTTGAAATACCTTTATGAGATAAAGTTCTATACCCTTGTAATTCTATTTAACTTCAAATTGATATGTTTTTAAAAGAATTCGAATGCGCTGCTAATTCAAATTCACCAACATATGTCAAATCAATGACATATAGATGATCTCCTTTCAATAATCTTAGAAAGTAGAATAAAAGTGTCTCGATTTCGTGACTAGACTTTTATCATATCGAAATGAAATTGGCTTTAATAAAACTGCTTAAAATATATAACTATTCTTCGATATATTTCGATCTAAAAGTTATTGTAGAATAGGTCGTTATCGTTATACTATAGACAGCGAATCAGTTACATATAGATTTATTTTAACGACATAAACATTTTCTTTTTGAGGAAGATAACAACTCTAGAAGATAGTATATGTTATTTAGAATATGAGATCTAATGGTATAGAAACGAATGAGAGTTGTTTGACAGAGAAAAAACATTAGAAACATTTAAAATTGTTTTGTCTTAGAGAAAGACTTGAAAAAAATGTTTGATTTATTTTTGGAATTTGTTCAGGAAAGTTTGATAAAAAAGAAAATTTTGGTATAAAGTTTTTATCAATTTAAGGTTTTGTCTAGAAAAATGACGTCTTTCAAGTTTTTTAAAGCCCTCTTATAAAATCGATGGAACAATAAATCATATTACTTTATTGTCTATGACGATTTTCAAAAGAATCTTGATTAGATAAGGTTTTGGAATAAATTATTTGATAAAGACATCTTATTAGTTGATGTACGATAATGTCAAGACTATTTTTAAATGAAATATTTCATTTGATATTCAAATTGTTCAACTATAAATTATTTATTCGATATTTCTTTAGCTAAAATTTTAAATTAACAATTGGATAAAGCACAAAAAAAGGTATATTGAAAATGACTCTATTAAATATTGTTCTAATAGTCATATTAAATCTTAAAGAAATTATTATCCGAAAACAAAAACAAGTAATAAAAAGTCAAAGGAAAAACAAAATCAAATGACGAGATCCTAAACAGTTTCATATAGAAATTTGTTTATACAGAAAAAAAAAATATTTAATGTTTTAAAAAGATCTTTGAATTTTGTTTTGACATTGATGTGACAAGATCTATATTTCTCTGTAAATCTTATTGTATAAATGATAGATAAGAAAAGAAAAGAAAAGAAAACGCCGTTGACAATTGATGAGAATTTTAGTTTATTTGATGATTCTTTTTTCTCTACGTTAATTTTCAAATAATATTATTGAATTTTTAACTGTATGAACAAGGCGATTTTGATAAAATAAATAATATATAGAAAATTATTCTAAGTGCTACTTATTTGTTAGATATTATTTTATCGAAATATTCGTTTAGCATTAGAATAGAATTAAATATTTTAGATTTCGAATTTTGTATTCAATGAAGTGTTGAGACTCATTCGATTAAATCTCGTGTTGATGTTTCTCTAATGAAATATTCTTCTGAAACGTATCTAAAATGTGTCATAAGACAAATGTCTTACAGGTATTATTATTGATTTAAGTCTCTTTTCATTGTTTCACTACATATTGACGATGTTAACTATAGTTATCTATTTTGTTTTGGTTTTTTTTTTGGATATTTTCCCTATTGTATTCTTTTTTCTCCTGAGTGTCTTTCTTGGTTTGATGCATTAGTTTGTGTATTTTTCAAGTGTATTATATTATTTATTGAGAGATTCGACGTATTTCCTAATATTTGACATAAATATAATATCTGTTGTTTCTTTGTGATGGAATTTATTAAAATCTAATCAAATTCAACCTGATTAAAGACCGAATATGAAACAGATATTTTCTGTCTGAAAATTTAAATGAATGACTTATGCATCTATTTAAAAATAAACAAATGAACTTGAAAAAGAATTCATTTTTCAACAATTATTCATTGTCATTAATGAAATATTGATTAGTCGTAATGACGAGTCAAAAGAGACTCATTGACAATTCTATACAGTGATTATACAACGTTGAATTTAAACAGATCTCAATAGATAAAATTTTTCAAGAAAAAATAAATCTGTACTATTTACAATAAATCATTAATAAGTTATAAATCGTTTAATAAACTATCTCAGAAAATAAACAAAACGAAATATATTCTTTCAAGACTTCGAATGTTTCTTTGTTATTGATGAACTCATTAAGCATGTAGAATATGGATATCAATCTATGTTTAGACGATGTCTTTATCGATTTAGACTAAAATAGGCATGGGGAAAAAGGGATTATCATTTTAGAGTTTATTTGAATAGTCGATTATTTAATAAGTTATTTTTGCATTTGATTATTGAAAATAGAAGATATATTTTACGTTAAATTTTGAAAAAAACTAAAATAAATTAGTTTTATTGTTAA